GAACAATGATTTTATGTAGCACTGAGTATTTGCGCGATTTGATTGAGTCGGATGATTAATGTAAGGTGGAAAGATTGCGAATTATATTTGAAGTATGATTGCTGTTTGCCGTCGCCATGTTGAAACAAGTCAGTTGGTTTGTGTGTGCGTGTTGTTTTGTGTCATATGGTGTATGTGTGTGTAAGTGTGTGTGTGGGTGTAAATGTGAAGCGTGTGTGTGTGAGAGAGAGAAAGAGTGGGTATGTGTGTGTGTGTGTGTGCTGCTGGGAGGAAGATATTGAGAAAGAGGACAAAGCAGGAGAATGATAAATGACATTGAACGGGGACAAGTTATTGTGCGTTGTATTGCTCCTATGCTAGCTGCCGATTTAAGATGTGATCTAGTGCTCCTGTGTGTTTCTGGGTTCTATGTTTTTTTTGTGAGTTATTTTGATGAATATAAACATTTTCTTACAAATTAAATTTATATAGCAAATCTATTTTTAAAAAATGTTTACGCTAAAAATCGGAAGTTGAACTTATGATTCAGCATGAGAACAAAGGCGCAGTATTAAAATATCATTTTTGTATTTAGTAAGTAGATTTCTTGTTGTGTCATGTAAAACAAGGCTACAGTTACTTGTAATCTGTAATGGATCTTTCTAACGCACGTAACATACTTCTTCATTAACTGGGACTGTCACAAAACTCAAAATCATTTTGAAAAAGCTAAAATAATAGGAAAAATGTTTTCATGGCAAAATTTTTGTCGAATTCATGAATTTTGACGTAAACCATGATAAAACTAATTTAACTGACAGGAAGACAAGTTTTTAAAAAATAAATACAAAAAGCGTGTAAAAAAACATGCATATACCCATATAATTTAGATACACCAATATACCGTACAGATATATACTCTTGTATGTAATTATTTCTTGCATGTATGCGAATTCGCATGTATCCGATCAGGGTCGCAAGCTAGACTAGCTCAAGTAAATATTTCATTAAAAGGGATTAATACAGGATTTGGGGGGACAATTAATTGCATGGAAACACACACTGACACATACACAGACACACACACAGACGCACAGACACACACATACACACACACAGACGCACACATACAAACAAAGACACGCACGTATATCTTGCTTCAGCGACTGTCCTTGCAGCGATTATTCATTGACATCCCATTTGTACACGGACGGGATGTTTTGATGAAGTGACTTATGAATGAGCTATAAATAACTTCTGAGGAATTACCGTGATTTCACTTTCTTTTTTCAACTATCATTATTGTATTCATTTAACTTTTGTTTTATTTATTATCGGTCAATATTTTCATTCTATTCGTCATCCTTCCCCTCATCAACTTCATCGTCATCTTTGTCACCATCATCTTCTTCGTCATTTTCGCCATCATCCTCATCATCTTCTTCCTCAGCATAAGCATCTTCTTCGTCATCATCATCATCATCCTCTTCATCTTCTTCGTCGTCATCATCATCATCATCTTCTTCTTCCTCATCATCATCATCTTCTTCTTCCTCATCACCATCATCTTCTTTGTCCTCTTCGCCATCATCCTCATCATCTTCTCCCTCAGCATCATCTTCGTCAAACAATTACATTTCCATAACAATCACAAAAACGATCATTACGAAAACGTCCACCTCATTTAACTGTTAACGCGTTTTCTTTTTCTCTGTTCTTTCTTCTTCTTTCTTCTTTTCCTTTTCCTTACATATTCTCACTTCATTTGCCGCATTTTTATTCTTTATGTCATATCCTCTCTTTACTTTTACATTCTTCTCCACCTTAGTTTATCCATTTTGTTTTTCATTATTTTAAATTATTTTTCTCTTCTCTCTCCTCTCTTTCTTTTTCTTTTGATTTTGATTTTTCTTATTTCTCCTCTCTCTCTATCTCTCTCTTTCTCTCTCTCTCTCTATTTTTTTCTCTTTTTCTCTGTAAAACTTTTTTAGTTTTTTTTTTCCTTTTCTCTCGGAGCATTCAATCCACTCTTATTATTCTTATTTTTCATATTACTCTCCTACTTTCACAAAAATTCAAATCCGCGTTCAACCAATGAAAACAACAACATAATGACAGACCAATCGCAATCTCGTTGACAACAACAACAAAAAGGACGACAACAATAACAACGACGACGACAACCAAACAACACAACACAGATGCAATCAAGCAAATAGCTTGGTCAGTTTCAATGGCATTACAACTTCAATATTGTAAATTGACCATTCGAGCGTAAAATTCAAAGAGTGGCCATTAGAATGGAAATAACATTGAAAAACATCATTGGCCACTTTTATTAAAACAATAAAAGCGCGCGTTGAAAAAGATAGTTAAGGCTGAAAATCGACATAAAAGAATCAAAAAAAAGTTAGGATAGTATTACTATTTTCTCTACTGTGACTGAAACTGCTTGTTGGTATTATAACTAATGCTACTACTACCAATAACACTACAACTGCTGCTGTTGTTACTACCACAGCTACTACTACTACAACAGCTTCTACTGCTACTGCTGCTGCTGCTGCCACTGCTTCTACTATTGTTACTTCATCGCTTTTCTTGTTTTTGTTATTATTTTTCTTATTATTACGAACATTATTATTGCTAATCATTCTCACCGCGAGATATTGCCAGCATACATCAATATAACAAGAGTTCTTCATTTAGGACCTAACCTTATTTATTTCGCCGGCAAATTAGTGTGATCATTTATTTTCATTCTGAAACTTTAACCTTTTTATGCTCAGAGGTATAATTTATAATAATAGGTTTATTATTATTATTATCGTTGTTTTTACAGAAGTTATTATTATATCTATGGTCATACATAAGTCAAACTATTCGTAGTTGATGACAGCGTCATTTATTAGCAACAACCTCGACAACAACAACAACAACAACAACAATAATAACAACAACCTCAGCAACAACAATAACAACAACATTAACAACAACAACAACACTAAAAGAATCATACGCAGTCACATTGAAATCAACAATCTCAACGACCACATATGTATGTATATCTGTATTCTAAATCACGGGCGGCCATTAGGATATTTAAAATTAGACAGGAAGATAAAATCGATCGCGAATTTAAATTTACTAAATTCGATAATTACACTAAGAAAATTATTAATAATGTCATCAACAATCACACTGGTAACATCAACGATGATGTCAAAAACAATTGCAACAAAATCAGCAAGACTGAAATACAACTCACAACAAAAACTCGGCATTGGTTTTTTTTTCTATCCGTCCGCTGATTTCAATTCCTATGCCGGTCTGCTAAACTTTTATACCTTTAATAGCCTCAACTTTTAACATTACACGATTAAGATCATTCATATGATCTCTCTCTTTCTCTCTCTCTCTCTCTCTCTCTCTCTCTTGCTCTCTCGCTTTCTCTCTCTCTCTTTCTCGTTCTTTTTTTTCTTTCTTTCTCAGTCTCCCAGTCATTCAGTATCTCTCTTTCTTTATCCTATCTCGTTCTCTGTTAAACATTTTTTCGTAATTTCTTTCTTTTTTTTGTTTCAATATCTCTCTTTCTACCTTTCTCCCTCTCTTCTTTTCTCCCTCTCTTTCTTTCTCTCTCTCTACCTCTATCTTTCCCTAACTTTTCAACTTCTTCCTCTCTCAAAACTTTCTCTTTTTTTCTAATACTTCTTTTTTACCCCCCCCCCCTCTCTCTCTTTTTTATTCCTTGTAAATGTTTTACACGACCATTAAGCGACAAAAAATATTTCCCAACAACCTTCAGAAGAAATTTAACGACAAAATTCTGCCGTCCAAGCGACAATATTAGAGCCCCGATTATGCTGAACATTCAAAGAGACGACGGCGACGCTTGAAAAGGCGGGCGAGCGTACTTTTCATTTTATTGCCGCTGAAATATCGCTCGAATCAAAGATTTATTTGCAATATATTTTTAGTCTTTGTTTTGTTGGAGTGACTTAATTGTTGGGCTTCATGCCGTGGATAAAATTTTTCGTTCGTTCGTGGTTTTAATAGGAAATGGATGTAAGTGATGTTTAAAAATTTAATAGAATTAGAAATTTTTTAAAATAATTTTTAACCAAACTTAATAATAATGGTAATAATAATTACAAAAAATGCACCAGAAATCGTAGTAGTGCTAGGGTTTATAATTATAGCAGCGTGGTAGCCACAGCAGTAGTAGTAGTAGTAGCAGTGACAGCTGCAACATTAGTAGTATTAGTAAGAGCAGCAGCGGTAGTAGTAGCAGCAGTAACGACAAAGGCAATGAATGTGGTATGTATGCATGAACCGGGGCTGTACCAGGAATTTATTGTAGATGAGCACTTCTGATAAAACGCTACCATCTATAAACACGTACACATCAATAATAACCATCGTCACAACGTTTCGATACCTTCATGTGTGTGTGTGTGTTTTTGTGTATTTCTATGTGTTTCTGTGTTTCTTTATGTATTTCTGTATTTCTCATATGTGTTTCTTTGTTTCTCTATGTGTTTCTGTGTTTCTCTATGTGTTTCTGTATTTCTCACATGTGTTTCTTTGTTTCTCTATGTGTTTCTGTGTGTTTTTATATGTGTTTCTGTGTACTACTCGAGTGTATAAATTAAATTTTTGCGCGTGAAATGGTATTATAATTGTATTTTTGTATATAAAGGTGTGCTTGTTTTTTGGCTAGCTCGTGCATGTGCGTATTTCGGTAGATGAATGATTTTCAGAAGTTTGTTGGATTTTGTTGGAAAAAGAATACGATTTCAATTTATTTTTTGTGCTAATTCAGTGTTGACGTTCATATTACATCTATACCCACCATCAAAATAAAAGTAGCCATAAAATGAACAATTTTTTCAGAAGGTAAAACTAATAACCTCATATTTCAAAACCTAACACGGTTCGATGAGATAAAAAAAATGAAAAAATAATCATAGCGTTATCTTACGTTGCAAAAATTACTAACCATAAAATTCATTAAAAGTGAATTAGTAGCAGTAAAACGTGCGAACACTAACAACTATACCAGCTGCAATCACACCAGCTGCAACCACACCACTTACAGCCACACCAACCACACCACTTACAGCCACACTAACCACACCACTTACAGCCACACCAACCACACCACTTGCAGCCACACTAACCACACCACTTACAGCCACACCAACCACACCACTTGCAGCCACACTAACCACACCACTTACAGCCACACCAACCACACCACTTACAGCCACACCAATTACAGCCAAACCAACCACACCACGCCAACAACAGTAGCCACAACAACGGGCCGCAACGACATCAGCTTCTACGACATCAACAACGACAACAGAAGCAGGAAAAAATATTAAAAATCCTGAGTATGATGTTACGACTTTGTATGGGCTTGGAAATGCAAATGCTCCAGACATTACAAAATTATCACCCCACATATATATGTTAATGAGACCACACACTTATTGCAGCAACACATACTAACGATAGCTTTAACACGTACAAATGACCAATTTGCTTAACATTCTGTTTATTTAAACATAAGTACAAATATACACACACATACACATACATACACACATACATACATATATACATGCGTGCATACACACATACATATATACATACATACATACATTCTTACATACATACAAACAAGTTTGTTTTACGTGGGTCTATATATATATTTGTGTTTCAATAATTACAAACTACATTCTGATAAAAATGTAAAAGAGTTGATTACTAAATAATTTTTTATTTCATTTTTGGTTTTTTAGGATTTGTAATATAAATGTGAGTTTACATGGACTAAAATATTTAAAATATACTCTCATTTTTATAATTGTCAGTGGTAATCATTACAAAATACTTGAAAAATTGTAAAAAATTAACGACATACAAAAATATACAACAAAAAATACCTCGAAAAAAATTACCAGATTGATAACACACGCGACAATATCTGCGTTTGACGGTTTTATTTACTGAATATTTAAAAAAAAAACCTGCAAAAACATTTGAAGACTGGTGATATGCCAAAAAATACCGCAATACGCAACAAAGATGAAACAATACCGGTGGATGTTGTAAATATTCCGTCTCAATACCCGCCATAAACAGCAGAGAAATGGCATAAAACGGTTGTGTATGAAAATGGCAGAGAAGGAACTTTCATTTCTCCATTCCAGAGCAAAAACTTATTTATGTCTAAGCAAATTTCTGCCAATAGATGGATAGATAGATGTTTCTTTGTTTGTGTGTGTATGTGCGCGCGCGCGTGTGTGTGTATTTTTGCATATAAACATATATGTATTTAAGTCTAATTCTAAAATTAAAATCTATTCTACGTGCTTCTAAATACGTAAATACAACTTGACGGCTGAACGAAATTAAACGCTTTGAACATCATCACACATTAATAAAATCGAACATATAACACACACACACACACACATACAAATGTAAAAATATTAGCATAGATACAATAACAATTGATCTGTATGCAGACAGAACCGCCAGATAAACAATGTGATTCGCTTCAAAATTTTAGAAACTTCGAAATAAACTCCACAGAATTTTTGAAAGGGAAATATTTTTTCGCGGTTTTTTTTGCCTGAGCCGACTATATACATGTAGATTGCTAGATAAAAATGTTTTTTGTTGTTGTTCGGTTTGGATGTATTGGCTGGTGTTGTTGTTTTTGTTGTTGTTTGTTGTATTTGCTGGTGCTGTTGTTGTTGTTGTTTGGTTTGGATGTGTTGGCTGGTGTTGTTGTTTTTGTTGTTGTTTGTTGTATTTGCTGGTGCTGTTGTTGTTGTTGTTTGGTTTGGATGTGTTGGCTGGTGTTGTTGTTTTTGTTGTTGTTTGTTGTATTTGTTGGTGACGTTGTTGTTGTTTTGTTTGTTCACGATGTTGATTTTTCGCTTTTGTTGCTGTTCTGGTTCTTCTCAATGTTAATGTTTGTTGACATATTTCTTAAACTGTTGCTAATGACGGTGATGATGACGACGATGAGGATGATGATGACGACAAATACCATGAAGATAATAACGATGGATAATAATGACGACGAAGATGATGTCGCTGAAGACGATAATAATGATGATGACGTCAATATTAATGTAGAACTAGGGCTGAGGTTATATAAAATAAAACTTTTATTGCTGGTGGTGTTAAAGTTGTTGTTGTTGTTTATTGTTGTTTGTTCTTGTCGTAATGCTGTTGCCTGTCGTTGCAAAGACGGTAACACTCACCAAATTACACAAAAATGTTAAAACTTCCAATGTGAAATAAACGAAATTAATGAAACAAAACAAATAGAGCCATGTATACACCATCCACACCATCTACACACACACACACATACACACACACATACACACACACACTCACACACATACACATCAGAAACAAACTAAAACAAAAAAGTAATGAAATTAAAAGTAAAAGAAACTTGAAAAGCGCACGGGTTGTTGATCAAACTAAAACATTTTTTTGATCTGACGTCCAGTTCCAACTGACCTATGCTTGCCAGCCAACGAACTGTGGATATTTTCAACAGAAAAAATATGAATTTCTTTCTGGCGAATTTTTTTCCTGACAAATGTTTTTCAGACAAATATATGAAGGAAGAACTGTTATGAACTGCGTAATGTCACGTCATGTTATTTGATGTGATGTGTTGATGTTGTTGTTTTTGATGCTATTTGTGTTGTTTATTTAAAAAAAAAACAATTTTACATGATTATATTTTGAATATTTAAAAAAAAGTGTGAGATTTTTTTATTTTTCAAAATTTTCGCCGTTTTTTAAGTAAAAACTGAAACAAAACCATATAAAAAATTTCTAAAAAATTTGGCTAAGAAAGAAGGCAAATAAAACATACATATATTTTTACATGCATACATACATACATACATACATACATACATACATACATGCATACATACATACATACATACATACATACATGCATACATACATACATACATGCATGCATGCATACATACACGCATACATATATCAATACATACATACATAAATACATACAATATCGTTATTTGTCGAAAGACAGTTTCAAAAATAACTTTCAAGTCAGTAATTGATGAATTCAAGTTCTCCAAAATAAGATGTCAATGGTGTAAAACAAGAAAGCATACAAAACCAGGTTTTACGCTGTTGAGGCTGGTGCAAGAGGAACAGTGGGAGCGTTGATGTATGCACTTTTCAAAGAGTTGGGACTGTCAGGCAGAAAGCATACAGCATCCTTGAAGAAAGTTATTAGTAGCGCAGAGCAAGCATCGTTCTGTTGTGGCTGATTAGAAATAAAAAGGTGGTTCGGCTGAATTAGCAAGCCAGAGCTAATTGCAGCATACCGTTCGTTATAAATTTATTTGCAATGAAACCTTCGCGCCAATAAGAACGAAACACCACGCATATATACACCATATACACTTGCAAGCAAACAGCACATAGAGACTTTTAATTTTAGGACAGACTGCGTTTGAACCCGGCTAGCTCGCATTAGCTTACGTCTCGTGAAATCACGACGTTTACCGTACGAGCCAACTAGCCAAAAATATATCAACCCCATAAATTCAAAACCACAGCATATGGCAATCATAATGGAGATATAAAATTGCGGATACAGAACATTAATAATCTTTAGATATAATATTTCTGTAACACGTTTTTTGAGAACAATCTGGAAGAGTGATTTTTCATCTACCATCGCACACTTGGAGAACATACTCCGGTTATTTTGAAGTGCTCTCTCACCCTCTGTGACGTACGATCAACCATCAATATTGCATTGTAATAAAACATTTACAAGGCGAGCTCAATTTATCTTCACATTCTTTTTGCACCTTTAAAAAATAATAAAAATAATAATAAAATAATAACAGTAAAACCAATAATAATTATAATTTATGGACATGGAAAAACATTTATTTTTGTTTTCTATACCAAAAAACGCACTGGAACGATTGTTTTTCGAAAATATTTTAGTTCCTACCTATTTTTGTATACACACACACAAACGTACACACACACAAACATACACACACACACAAACATACACACACACACACACACACACAGTCATCTATACATTTTGAAGCCGAATAAGACACAACAACTTACACCCACAGAAATGATGGTATTAAAGACGACAGCCCAAAAACCAGTGACTAATTTTTTGTCTGTTTTGAATAAATCACAGTCTGCCTGCAACTTGTTTCACATCCATTATTCCGTAATAATTCAATTAAGAGAGATGGACTTCGAGATTTTCTTGAAATTCAAGAGCATGTTGAAAGAATCTCTTTTAAATTTCATTAATGGGAAAAGTTTAATAACCAAGAGCAAAAATGCGTACTTAAATATTGCACACACACATACACGCACGCACACACACAAGCACGCACGCACACTCACACACACACTTAATTATAACAAATTGACATGCTTTTAAAATAAAAACACTTATACACACCGACACACACACACACACACACATACATATACACATATATATATATATATATATATATATATATATATATATACAAGCAAAAAAGTAGGCCGATACACACACACACACACACACACGAACGAACGACTGACCAATGATGAATAAATCAAGACAGGCGAACATTCCTTATATAGGTGGACAGCTGAGAGTCATCAGTTTTATCAAACATTATGCGACTGCATTATTTTTTCATTTCATCCATTCATTTATTCGTTCGTTCGTCCGTTCGTTCATTCATTCATTCGTTCATTCATTCATTCATTCATTCATTAATTAATTCATTCATTCATTCATTTGTTCATTCATTCATTCAGTCAGTCATTCATTCATTCATTCATTCATTCATTCATTCATTCATTCATTCATTCATTCAGTCATTCATTCATTCATTCATTTATTTATTTATTTGTTATCTCGTTTATTTTTTCCATCAATCATTCATCCGTTCATTCCGTTCTTTAATACCCAAGACTTTCTTTTTTACAATTTAAGCATTCATTCATTCATTTCTTATCTCATTTTCTCATTTGTCTCTGAAAATTATTCAATTGTATTTTTTTATCTAGTTTCTTCACACACACACACACACACACCACACACACACACACACAAAACACACACACACTATCTCTCTTTCTTTATCGTGTTTTTTCTCTTTTTTCTCTCTCTTTCCCTCTCTCTTTCCCTCCCCCCCACTCCCTCTCTCTCTCTCTCTCTCTCTCTCTCTCTCTCTCTCTCTCTCTCTTCCATCCTCTATTTATACGATATACATGTTTATCTTGTTTGAATTCATCATATCGGCTCCCTTATGTGTTCATCCATTTCTTCTTCCCTTAATTTGTTCATTCATTCAATCATTCATTCGTTTATTTGTTTGTTTATTCATTCAATCATTCATTCGTTTATTTGTTTGTTCATTGACTCAATCATTCATACATTTGTTTGTTTATTCATTCGACTTGATTTGACTAATTCTCAACTTGATCATTTGTTCGTTTGCTATTTCATTCACCGGAAGATTACTTGTCCGTCCATCAAATATGACGTCACCGTATCGTCACACGAACACGCGCTGTTGGCTGAACCAAGCTGACGTAAATCACGTTACTCTCTACAACGATGATGTTGATGGTGACGATGACGACGATGATGAAGACGATGATGAAGACGATGATGAAGACGATGATGAAGACGATGATGAAGACGATGATGAAGACGATGATGAAGACGATGATGAAGACGATGATGAAGACGATGATGAAGACGATGATGAAGACGATGATGAAGACGATGATGAAGACGATGATGATGAAGAAACTCATAACATTTACTCTTTTTTTTATCTTCATATCTTTTGCTATTGTAACTGGGAATTAATTTTAGAATTTTTCACACAACCACATACACACAAGCAAACATACACACACAAACACACACACACAAAAACACATACACACAAACACACATACACAAACAAACGCTCATAAACACACACACACACAAACACAATTAATAACATCCTTTCAAAAACATTTTCATAACGCTTTGATTTGTCTTACGCCTTTAATGTCGTCTTTACAACGCATATAAAGTTGATAATATTAGTAATTGTTGTTGTTGTTTTTGTTGTTGTTGTTGGCACCATTGTTGCTGTTATTGTTATTTACTGATGTTACATTTGTGGTTGTTGATGTTGTTGTTGTAATTTTTTGTTATCAATGCAATTTTATTAATTTTATTATTAATTTTATTGTTTTGGTTTTTAGCTTAATTCTAACATCAAAGACCAATGATCTTTAAGATGCATTTTATTTAAGTCATTAATCATTTTAAAAGAAAAAAAACATTTTTTTGCAGAAAATGATTTTGGCAACAACGTCAACATCACCGCCAACAACAACAACAACAAAAACAATAACAATAACAATAACAACAACATCAACAACAACAACAACACTTCACTACCGGTACTGTTGTTTATACATGGTTCCTCATACGATTTCGGTACCGGCAACATGTTTGATGGAAGGATACTGGCCGCCTATGGGCTGGTCATCGTCGTCACCATCAATTATAGGCTGGGTGTCCTAGGTTGGTTGGTTGGTTGTTTGGTTGGTTGGTTGGTTGGTTGGTTGGTTGGTTGGTTGGTTGGTAGGTTGGTAGGTTGGTTGGTTGGTTGGTTGGTTGGTTGGTTTGTTGGTTGGTTGGTTGGTTGGTTGGTTGGTTGGTTGAATGGTTGGCTGTTTAAAATATTGGCCGAATAAACAAATGAATGATAAATGAAAGAGTGAAATGACTGAATAAGTGACTGATTGATTAATTGATTGATTAATGTAATAATTGAATGAACGATTGATTGAAAGAAAGAATGGCCAAACGATCAATCAATTGAATGTCTGGCAATTTGGATGATTAAACTATGGTCAAGATGATCGAATGAATAGATGAGGATAAGCAGACTGGAAAATAAAAATATAATGATCAACTATTGACAAATTAAGTTTGTCAAATAATTAACCTGCATACATCTATTCGTCCATTTATCCATCTATCCATCCATCCATCTATCTATCCATCAATCCATCCGTCCATCCATCCATCCATCCATCCATCCATCCATCCATCCATCCATCCATCCATCTATCCATCCATCCATCCATCCATCCATCCATTCATCCATCCACCCATCCATCCATCCATCCATCCATCTATCTATCCATCCATCCATCCATCCACCTATCCATCTATCTAACTATCAACCAAAGGTAATAACAACCCAAAAAAATCAATGTTATTGTAAATTGATCGATTGCATATTGCTTAGGGGGGGCATGGATATTTTTTTTATTTGTTTTTGAATTTTTTTTATCTTTTTATGTTGAAAATATCTGGCTATAAAAATGTTGAAATATTCGAAGAAATTGTCAAATGTTTTGTTGGTGATATAGTTTTTTTTGTTTGATATTTGCTTGAATCCTAATTCACTGCACTCCAAAAAAATGTTGGACGGTAGTTTTAACCTCTCTCTACCTGTCTTGTGTAGTTCTAACTTTAAAATTTTATCTCTAATTCCACTACTTTCATTTCTCCATTGAGTTTCAAAAATGACAATTTGGCAAAAACAATTTCAGGGAATTTTCCTCCTAAAATTTTTATCCAAGATAATATCTTGCCCTTTCTTTTCAGAAAAAGTTCATTATCAATCAAAAAATTTGATCTTTTAAGTTTGTATATTTAAACCCACATATATACGCAAATACAATGTACAAACACACACATGCACACACGTTTGCACACATACAGACAAACACACAGAAATACACACAAACACCCTTTGATTACATAGTCATCGTGCTTTCATTCTTTTACTTCCTCTCTAATGGGAATTGCATGCAGGCTAATGTATAACAACACAACACAACAACATCAAACGTTAGCATGCATAACAACAAACAAACAACAAACCAACAAAAATACACTAAATCGAAAACAAAAACAAGACATACGAAAAAAAGATACAAAACAAACCGAAAGTAAAATAGTTATGCCAAAAGCTATCATCAGTCGCTTGATAGCGATGAATTTTTTTTCCTGTTTCCTTGTTATAAAAAAAACGAAATAGAAAAAACAAAAATGTAGGAACAGCCTCAAATGTGTTACTTCGTTCAAAAAAATTATCATTACGGCCAGTGATTTATAGTCTGTCTGTCTGTCTGTCTGTGTTTGTATGGTTGTGTGTTTACATATACATTTGTATGTGTGCTTGAGTGGACGTTTAAGTGTGTGTGTGTGTGTTTGTGTTCATGTGTTTGAATATCGGTAGATGTATGTGTGTTTGTATCAGTATGTTTGCATATTTAGAAGTGCGTGTGGATGGAATGTATGTTATCGGGTCGAATGTTTTTATTTGAAAATTCCTAAAAATTAAAATATTTTTTCTTGGTCGATCACATTTTGTTATCATCATGAGAAAATATATCGGCATTGTTTAAGCATTGCATGCCATGAAAGGAAAAGAAAATTTTCAATGTCTGATAAACAATGGAAAATATTTTCTTATTACAAAAAATTTATTTATAATTAAGCAAAAGGAATAATTTCAAAACTCATGATATTGTTATGCCATTTTTATGTCATTTGATGTCAATTAATTGAAAGAATTAATTAAAGTCATGATAATTTTTCGTTTTGTGAGATCTATCCTGTGTGGCTAACGTAGCAATACTAAAAATACAATACCATACATACGTGCAACAATACCACAAATTTGTGGCCAAATAAAATATTGTATTGTATTGTTTTGTATTGTATTGTATCGTATCGTATTGTATCGTATCGTATCGTATTGTATTGTAAATACAATACTACACACAAATGCAACAGTACCAAAAATACCTCAGTTACAACAATACCACACGTACAATGCGATACGTATGCGTTTGATAACACACAGTAAGTGTGGATGGCTGGCCGACAAGCCAGTTTTCATTGAATCGCCAGGGGCAGCGCAGAAATCAAACCGGCAATAAATTCAAAGGAGCGTGTTTGAAATATGCTACGCTGGCTAAATTTCATATTGTTTGTTCTCTTTGTACGTGTGTTTGCGCGTTTGCTTGTATGCGTGTGCGTGTTTGTTTCTAACAACAGAGGCGATAACAACACCGTCAAAAGCAACAAAAGCATCTTAAACTGCGAAAATAATAAAAACATGCTCGTAAGTGGGCAACAATGGAAATGTTTGATAATGTCTACTTTTCGCTAAAATCTTGTTAACCCGAGCCAAGTGTCTGTGTACGTGTGTGTGCGTGTGTCTGTGTGTGTCTGTGTGTGCAGTGACCTACATTGATAATGTAAGCATAAGCATGACCCATATAAACTGGATACAATCCAACAGGGTTCAGTTACTCGATCGATGTGTCACGTGCTCTGCCTTTGTTTACATTCCCATCACGTGCTTCCGTTATGAGGGTGCGTCTGACGATAAATTTCTTTGGCGAAATGACAAAAAAGTTTTTAACACAACCAAAGAATAAAAATTTTAGAGGTGTTAGAAGGAAAAAAAAATTAGAAAAAAAAGGTTTGAATTTTTTAGCGGCTGTGAGTAAATCAAATTAATTGTTTAAAAATTCATTTGTCGAGGCAATTTTAAAAAGAGAAATTGCTTGCTTTCAAGAAGTATTTTTAAGACAAAAATGCAAGCTTTTCTTCTAGAATTTGAATTTTTTTCTAAGAATGTCTGAATCTAAGAATGTTTGATTGGAAAATTTTGTTTTTCATCATTTCGTTTCATGAAATATTCAACTTTTATATAAGATATTTTTCAAAATATTTTTTAATTAATTTTGTTCCAAATTAAACATCTGTTTAAAAGAGGGTCAAACATTTTATTATTTTACGCTTCTAATTATTTAACCTGGCTTAAACTTTGGTTATTGATAATTAAAACAAACTTTATTTAGAAGTAAGAAAATTATTGAAAGAAAATTTTGTTGCGTTTCAACCTGAGCTTAAAATTTATTCGAAAGAAAAAATGTTTTAGAAAATAGAGGTGATGATGAAACACTTGTAACTGCATTTGAATCATACTCTGCTATTAATGACAAAAATAAGTTTTTGGTCGCACCAATTTTTTATGAAATTTTAAACAATGGTGTCTATCGGTTTAAGTGGTTGTTTGATTATTATCTTTAGATCTATTTCAAAACAATTACCATTTAATAGAAATAAATTTAAAAATAAAACAAACACATCCCTCAACCAACACAAATTGTTCATGTAAATCTAGACGTAAATGTGCATGGAACCTAAACATTTCAGACGTTTTTTTTACAAAACTCCACCCACACGCCCGTGCAGTTCACGCGCTTAGAGACAAACGCACGCACGCACACACGCACACAAACACGCACACGTAGTGCGGTTTTCATAACGGATGGAAGCGCTCATAGCCCGATGAATTTTTAAATATCAAACCAACGATTGGAACACTACTCTGTTTTTGCTTTTCCATTCTATTTGTTTTTTTGTTGTTTTTTTTCTAAACTGAATGTGAAGTGATGGCGTTTGATGTTTCAATTTGAAGTTAAATATGGAGGTTGTAAATAAGAATTCATGAAAGATTTAACTTATTTTATGTCTTGTGATGTGTTTTGTCAGGTTTTTGGCTGATTCTGCCGTCAGTGATTGATTTTGACTTTGTTGCATTTTAAAAATTGTTTTGTGACAGTAGCATTTGTAATTTTTGTCTCTTCTGATCATTGTGCCTAGGCGATAGTATTGTTGATCTTTGTAATAACTAAACAATTTATGACACACACACACACAAACAAACAAACAAATAAACACACACAGACACGCTCAAATATACACAGACTTACACACACACACACACAAATAACTGAAAATGAAAAATAAGTGCAACCTCCTCAATGAAATGGAAACAAATGATACTACGACATGAGCACAAATGAAGAATTGTAGCAAACAACTCTCCACTGCCTGCCTAGGTCACTCCAACGCAACTGGTCTTACGTGTCCTCTTCATTCTTTGGGTTATCTGGACGTCTGTTTCTTTTTTTTCACTATCTCTTTCCTTCTTTTTCTCTCTCTCTCTCTTTCTCTCTATCTCTCTCTCGGGTCTTTTCTCAATTTTCCGGGCAACTTTCTTGCGTTTGTGACAAACTAGCGAAGCCAGGCAGAAAATGTTTTCGATGGATCGCATGAATATTTATGTCTGTCCACTCTTTTGATAACGAAAAGTTATGTGACCGAAGTATGCTTGTGGCAAAAGATTGATTCACTAGGTCAAGGTCAAGTATTTTGTTAAGTTGTACAACTTGTTCCTTTGGAAAGTATTCGTATTTGAGAGAAATAAATAACATTAAACTAAATTTAAACGTCATAAAGAACGATGAACAACAACAAAAGTTGTAGATGAACGAGAAACCAATTACCAATCGTTATAAACATCTCTATCAATGAGAATCGTACTGACACATCTGAAGTACAGCACATGGAAATTTAAAAAGTAACGAAAAAAAATATTGCAGACAAGAGATTTTTTAAACTAGAAAAAAAATTAACCGAAAAGTTTGAAAATTTGCAATAAACAATACAAAAAATTGTGAAAACGTACAAACTACTGCAAAAAAAACAAACATAAACAGACAAACAAACAAAAAAACACAGAAAAACAAAGAAAATAATATTGGCTATTTTATTAAACACGTCAGTCCAGTGCAGGCTTTTACAATTCCCTTGTTTGTCGGTGCAGCCAAAGTATGTAACAAGTTTGCGCCCATGAATATGTGCTATACATACCACACACACACACACACACACACACACACTTCACATACACACACTCTCTTCACATACACACACAAATCCAGATACACACATAAACACAGACCTCACACCCCCAGCCGCACATACACACAGGATGTATGCCTAATTACACACACAAACACAGACACAACACACCTATATGTAAATTTCCATTTCTATCACGCACATATACACAAACACTTCTACAAATCTCACGCACACACACACACAAACACACACACAAAGTATCCAAACGTAAAGAATGAAACCTGTGTAGTACATATTCATTCAGAAAAATGGGATGGATGGTTTTATGATGAAATATTGCTTAGCTAACGTTCAATTCAAATAATAATAATAGTAATAATAATAATAATAATATTTATAATAATATTGTAATTACTACTTCCTATTTTTCATTAAACTATCGCAAATAATTGTTATTACAAATGTTGGCAGATTGATTAAAAATTTGATAATTTAGTTTGTCCGGTATTGAGTTTTTATTTTCAAATGTTAACCACACAATCTTTCTCTCTCTCTCTCACACACACACACAAACACACTCAAATAATAATATTATTATCATTTTTTATTATAATTTATTAATATTTTTATTATTGGATAATAGATAATAACCTTGTGTATAAATAACCTTGCTAGCTTCTTTCATAAGCGTGTTGACAGCGTTTTTGTACATCTTGCCACTTGTTTGTTTGTGTGCGTGTGTGCTTGTTCGTTTGTGTTTGTGTGCATATTTGTTTGCATGAGAACGTGTGTGTGTGGATATGAAAGTATGTGTGTGCGCGTGTGTACGTGTGTTTGTGTGTGTGTGTGTTTGTGTTGGAGGCGTGTAAGTGTGTGTGTGGGAACGCATAAGTGTGTATGTGTGTTTGTGTGCGTGTGTTTGTGTGTGTGTGTGTTTGTGTGTGCGTTTGTATTGTTCACGTGCAACCGGCCATTTTAGAAAGTCCGATAAAATAAATAATAAAGGAGTTTTATGAACGTGTTTATAGGTCGGTGATTCATACATAGCCGGTTATATGCATTAAGTTCTCCTCATGTATGTTCGTGTACGTGTTTTTATATTCGTCTACGTTTGTCTTTGTATGTTTAAGTCTGCTTGTGTGGGTACGCTTGTTTACTCTGGTGCTTGTTTGTTTGTGTTTGTTTGTATATTTTAGTGTTTGTCTAAATTGTGTGGTTTTATATGTGCATTTGTACATTTTGTTTGTTTGTATGTTTTTGTATATGTATGTTAGTATTTGTTTGTTTCAAGTCTGTAATTTTTGTGTTTGTATTTAAGTATGATTTGAATATTTTGAAGCATATTGGAGGATGTTAAATTTAGAGTGATGAATTTTTGAAAGCTTTCGCCATGGAAGATTTTAATCCAAGTTCTGTCGTCTTTGTTATGATATCTATGTTTTTATGTATGTTTATGCATCTATGTTTATATTTTTGTTTGCCTGTATCTATGTTCGTGTATATGTTTGTATGATATGTTTTTTGTATATATTTTTATACAATCAAACATGTGTGTTTGTATGTTTGCTTATGCTATTTTTATAGACTTATTTCTGTTCATGAACGAGTGTATGTTTTAATGATGATGTTTATGTATTTATTGTATGTATGTATATGTGTGTGTGTATGTGTATGTATGTGTGTGTGTGTGTTTGCATACATGTTTGGTTTGTATGTTTGTATGTTTGTTGGAAACAATTTTGATGCTGGATGTTTGAAAAGTGGATTATCGTATTAAGGCACCATGCAATGAGGCAATCAATTAATGTACTTCAATTATATTTAACTAATTGCTTCCCATCTTTTTTCGTTGTTTTTGCGATTATGACAAAATTACAACAACAACAACAACAACAAAAAATAATAATAATAATAATTAATATTATTATAACTATATTTGGTAATATTGTTAATAAAAAATTTGTAAAATCATAATATATAATGAAAACCCTACTAGAATATATAAATATTATTCTTATTTTTATTTTACCATCATAATTATTGCAATTATATTTATAATTATGGTGATAATAATAACTATTATTATTTTAATTATATTTAATATTATTCTCCTTCAGAAGTTATCAGCCTTTTATCCTTATCGGGCTGTCTTCAATTCGAGTAATGAGAAATTTTTTTATACTGATATTTCAAAAAGACGTTTTTTTAATTAAGCTACTAACGATGAATATAATGATGATGATGATGATGACGACGACGACGATGATGATGATGATAATGATGATGATGATGAGGATGACAATGGTAATTTTACACATCCACATACACATATAAAGATATACACACGCACGTATATAAACATACACACACAGCAACACACACACACACTCACACACGCACACTCATATTATGTTGCGATATCAAAAAACCATGACGAAACATTTTCCTCAAAATTTTTTCCTTTCAAAAGCATCTTTAAAATTTCTAATGACGGTCCGGGATTTCAATTTACAAAAAAAAATCATACATACAAACATAGATACAAACATGCAAACATATATACATACAAACAAGCAAACATAATTACATTTATTCAGGCATACATCCATACATTCGTTACGAAGTATTAGTTTAAACTTACAATGTTATTACAAACTACTATACACACACGAACGCGCGCTCGCACACATACACACGCACATAAACAAACACACACATATACATAAACACACAAACATTCAATTATTCAAACATAAATTGAATGAACACACAAAATAAACACACGTGCACCATACATACACGTAACACATAAGTATTGTATAATTTGGCTTATGTCACAACATGTGTTCGAACTTGATGGGATTGAAACAATTTGTGATAAAACTGCATTGCTAAAGAAGGCAAGCAATCCTACCGTCTCAGCCATTCCTATACTCGTCAATTATAAACTGAAAATAAAAATACCTGAAAATAAAAGTTGTAATAAATATTAAATACTGCACCAAATATGAATATTAAAATATAAAGACGTATTAAAGAATGTACCGAGCGCGAGTGTTACAGCAGACGTTAGTTAAGTACTGACTGACACATGTGTTTGCATGTACAAGCTGCTTTCAAATCTGCGGTGATAGCGATTTGAAGCCGAGAGCTGTGGCCTTGAATCTCACTTTATTGCTCATTTGAGCTTTCCTACATCAGCTGCTTCGTGTGTGAGATTGTTTATGACGTGGTTGTTCTGCCTGGCTCCCGTCAACAAATTACAATTGAGAGAGATATATGCAAATTAAAAATTCTACCGGTTGTATGGGCGTCGTTCGTTTGTTTGTTTGGGTGTTTGTTTGTGTTTTTTGTGTGTGTCTGTGTGTGTGTATGTGTGAGGGGGTAAGAGAGTATGTGTATGTGTGTGTATGTGAGTATATATATGTGTGTGTGTGTACAGGTGTTTGTATATGATTGTATGACTTCTGATAGACGCAAATTCAGAATGAACAGTAACTTATATATCTATCCTATGACGGAGTTCTGAGTCGTTTTGAATTTCAGCGTCTGGATGGATGAGTCGTAGCAATAAAGAAAATTTTGAGGAAAAATTTCTTTGAAAAAGATTTTAAACGCCTGGGCGAGCGTGCGCATAATTGCATTCGTATCTAAAAATGAATTGAAGAGGAACTTTTATGTGTGTGTGTGTGTGTGTGAAAGTGTGTTTGTATGTGTGTGTAAGTACTTGCGCGTGTGTGTATGTGTGTATGTGTGTGTGCTTGTGTGTGTGCTTGCGTGTGTGTGTGTGTGTGTGTTTGTATGTGTGTGTTTGTATGTGTATGTGCTTGCGTGTGTGTGTTTGTATGTGTGTGTGCTTGCGTGTGTATGCGTGTGCGTGTGTGTGTGTGTAATAATTATATATGTATAGATAGAGTATGTGAGTTTGATTGTAATGGGCATAATAGGCACGTGATTGCGTGTGTAATGAATTTATTTGCATGTTTGTTATTGTTCGTGTCCGTATCTTTGGCTCTGTGTAAATATTTGTGTCTCTAGTCTCATCCATATACCAGGTTTTGATGATTAATGTTCGTTAGAGATTTGAATGATAAATGAGAGATGAGAGTTATCAACAGCTACAGCGAGAAAATGGGAAACAACAAAAGATAATAAAAATTGCATCAACTACAACATCAATTGCATCAACTAAAACATTAATTACGTTAGCTACAACAATTACATCAGCTACAACAACAAGTGCATCAACTACAACAACAATTACATCAACTACAACAGCAATTAAATCAGCTACAACAATTACAACAGCAATTAAATCAGCTACAACATTTAAATCAACTATAACACTAATATAAACACATCAACAACAACAACCACAACAACAAAATAGGAACCACAACAACCAATCAATGTTCATACAAACGCTGGCAAATTTGCATTCAAGAATAAAGCGAAAAATAATTTACATAAAAAATGATCAGTGAGAAAATAACAAATGAAAAAAATTCTACATAAAATCAACCCCATCATCTTTGTCATCATCACAATCAACAACATAGACAAAAACAACAACATTAACAACAACACGACAACAAAAACAACAACAACAACATAGACAACTGCAACAATAATAAATTTATAAACAACAACAGCAACACCAAAACAACATAAATAACAACGATAACAACAACATAGACAACAACAACAACATAGACAACAGCAACAACAAACAACAACAACAACATGACAGGCTTCTTAAGCACTACGGACAGCGATGCTTCAGGCAACTACGCCCTCTTGGATCAAGTGGCAGCCCTCCAGTGGATACAGGCCAACATTAAAGTTGGTTTTGTTGTTGCCGTCGTTGTTGTTTATGACGTCACTGATGACGTCATTGTTGTCAGCTGTTGTTGTTTGTTAAACTTCCGTAGTTGTTTGTTGTTGCTGCTGTTCGTTACATTTCAAATTTTAGCAAGAAATCAGAAACTCATAAAATTTTAGCGCGGAATAAATTATTTGTAGAATTTTGGCGGAAATCCTAACGGTGTGACCATTATGGGTCAAGGACATGGGGCTGCAATGGCCAATATGCTAATGATGTCACCGATTACGAGGGGTCTGTTGATGTTGTTGATGTTGATGATGATATTGATGTTGTTGATGTTGATGTTGTTGATGATGTTGTTGATGTTTTTGATGATGTTGATGTTGATGATGCTGATGTTGTTGGTGTTGCTGATGTTGTTGTTGATGATGTTGTTGATGTTGATGTTGTTGATGTTAGTGATGATGTTGTTGCTGTTGAGGATGAAGATATTATTATTAAAAATGATGAAAATGGAACTGTTCAACCGCTTTGTAATAACGGTTTTAAAAGTCAAAACTAAAACATCATTACACAGTAAATAATAATTTTAAATAAATAAATAAAATTATATTCAAATATTAAAAAAAAAATTTTTAAATTTTTTATTTTAAATTTTTTAAATTTTAAATTTAAAAATTTTAAATTCAAATAAAATTATTCTCTCTTTCATAAATTTAAGGATCCAACTTATTCCAAAGAGTCATTCTGCTAAGTGGCTCAGCGTTCAGTGTATGGGCAATTGACAAGTATAACTTTAATTATAATATTTTCCACAATAATAATAATAATAATAATTATTAAAAATAATTAATAATAATAATAATAAATATTGTTGTTGTTATTATTATTACCATCGTTATCAGGAATCCATTGAGATCGACTTTGATAGTTTCAGAAGCGGTCAACTGTTCAGAGCATTGGTCAAACAGCAGAAAACTTATCAATTGTCTCAAGAAGGTTTGGTCATTTTTTTGGTCGGAAATGACTATTAATATTAAAGTTTGTTCATTTTTTTACAATTAATTTGTTTTTGTTTATGTTTTGTTTTGTGAAAAATGATTTCTATGTCAAAATTTTTCAATGTACTATTTACAGAACATAAAAACTTTCGAAAAAATTTCCATTTTTTTGCCCATAAAATTAATCTACGGTTTGTTTGTATTGTATGTTTAACTGAAAAATTGCGAAAAATAAATACATTTTTTTTTATTCAAGTGCATAAAAAATTGAGAAATTTATTTTAAATTTGAAAAATTATCTAATAATTTTTACTAAAATATTAATCTAAAAACAGGGAACATCTAAAATGAAATATTTTTTCTAAAAAAATTATTTTTAGATTAGCTGGAGAACGTTGACAGACATACAAGTGCCTGGATACAAGTTGGTCATGACGTCATCACTACGTATTTGCTACGTCATCATCATCACCATCATTCTTATTAATATTATTATTATCATTATCACCATTATTTTTATTACTGTTTTGTTATTTTTTTGTCATCATTATGCGGTCCTCACATCACCTCCATCATTGCATTCATGTCCTTACATCAAAATCATTCTAGTTAAAATAATCATGGTAATTATGACGTCATCATCATTTCCTCTTTAAAATATTTTCTCACCAAAAGATATCTACCGACATTTGGACCAAGTGTTGATAAAAGAAGCGTTCTACCCCAAGAACCCCAACAGCTTGTCAATGATTGGCTGGCTGATCAAATGACGTCACAGCACCCGCCAGATCTATTGGCTGGCATTAATCACAACGAAGGTTATGGTAGTGATTGGAAAATTTCGTTGGTAACTTTGTAACTTCACTTTTCAACTGAATTCGATTTAAATGTTATTTGAACATACAACAAAAGCAATAACATCAACAACACCAACAGAATTAACAGCAACGACAACAACAACAACATAACAATAAAAACACAACACAACAACAACAACAAAAACAACAACAACAACAACAACAGGTTTTCAATACCTGAACGAGTCCCAACTAGCACACGGAATGGACAGACAGGAAATGCAAAAATACCTGCGCTCCTTCGTGCAAAACGTCTACACGTACAACCGCCAGAGCATCTATGACGTCATACATTATCAGTATCAGGATTGGCTGACGGATCGAAACCTGAGATCCGTCAGGGATTTTACAACCGGATTTTTGGGAGACGCGATGCAAGTGGCACCCATTATTGAGTTGATGCGCAAACGTGTGGCGACCGATGCGACACCTCAACAACCGCAACAGCCACAACAACCACAACAACAACAGCATAAACAAAAGCAACAACAACAGCAGCAGAAATCTACGCGGTATAAAACATTCATGTACTGCTTCGGCTATGCTTCGTCTAGAGTGCAACAGTTTTATCAGCAGCAGCATCAGTTTCATTATCATCAGCAGCAACATCACTATCATCATCAACTACCACAACAGCCACAGCAGCACCACCAACAGCAGCAGCAGCAACTACAACAGCCACAACACTACTCGAACAGTCTGAACGTTCCTGGCGACGAACTGTTATACATATTTGGTGAACCGTTCACACTCGTCCACTTGTACGATGACGGTGATAGAGAGTTCAGTGAGACGATGATCATGCTATGGAGGAATTTCATGTATTTGGGGTTTGTTGTTGTTGTTGTTGCCGTTTTTGGCGTTGTTTCCCAGCTGCTACGGTTTTTTTCTCTAAAAATTTTGTAAAATTTAATATATTATATATAATGTGAGATAGAAGAATAATGAAATTATTTCCAAGAGCTTTTCAATAAATCAAATTACACCATGTGCTCGCCTCTGCTTAATTATTCCCAACAAAGCCAGACGTTACTCAAATAAGAATCGTAAACTTATGAGAATAAAACATTTCTTTTTTGAATTTTTTCAAATTAAATTTTATGATTTCAAACCGAACAATTATTTTATTTTATGTAAATACTATATTTTTAATTTATTAATTTCATTTTTTTGGTGTTAAAAGTCATAAACTACCATCATTATAAAATGCAATGCTGTACAATACACACAAGCACATACACACGTACAAACACACACACACACAAAGATATACACACACACACACACACACACACACACACACACGTATATGTATGACGTAATATTATGCCGTGTTGTAGTGATTACGGCCAGTCTAGAAAAAAATATTTCTCATTTTGCGATCCTCTCATAAACAATTATAATCATCAAAATCGTTTGTATATTTGTATGTTTGTATCCTTTTTTATGTCTGTATGTCTGTACGATTGTATGTTTGTTTGTATTTTTATGTTTTCACCGACTAACATGGCTAATCCTATTAAAACACAGGATTTATATATACACGTATGTGTGTATGTACGTTTTCTTTATTGTTTCTTTTTTGGTATAATTTTGTTGTTGTTGTTGTATTTGTTTGTATTTATGTATGTTTGTCAGAGCCTAGATTTTATTGTCAAAAAAATGTCTATAGGTTGCATGTATTGGATTTACGTTTGTATATGTGTGTTTTTATGTGTACGTGTGTAAATTTTTGTATGTGTGGTTATGTGTGAGTTTGTATGTGTTTGTATGCGAGTTGACTTTATGTATACGGATAATATTTAACACTTTCTCAGTAAAAAACAATGTTTGAAAAGAGCTCGTTATCAGATTTATGTTGAGAATTTGTACATTTGCATTTTTTTCATTTTTCTTTCAAGTGCAACTGCAAGAATAACAGCAGAGCTGAAATTTTCCATTTTTTGATCAATAAAAATGTTTCAGTTGAACTCAGCACCACATAAATTTATATAAAAGTATGTATTTTGGTTAAAAACTCATCTTTGTGTGTAGGTCACTGAGGATGGGATTGCATCGGCCAATTATTTATTTTTTGGGCAATTTATAAAGTTAAACTACAGGTAATGGGGATTTTCTCTCTGATTTTTCTTCTTTTTTCTCCTTTTCTTTTTTTCTCTTTTCCTCTTTCTCTCTTTCTTTCACACACACATCCACTTTTTTCTATCTCTCACATACACACCCACACACACACACACACACACACGCA